AAGGCTACTTGAATTTTGTAGAGTTCTATCGACTTTTCCCTTTGTTTTTATTTGTTTATTTCTAACTTTAAACTCCCATGAGAATTAATGGATAAAAGCATACAAATATACATAACGTACACGTCACTATCCTTGGTCTAAATGTACAGGTTTGTTTGTTTGCGTCGAGTGTAACGTCCTTACAGTATAATTACGGACAATGCAGCTATTAATACACCAATTTCTGTAATATGGTTCCTTTTCTGCAATCTGAACTTTTGTTTTTGTTTTCCAGCACTATAATTGGGTGCATGCCTTCAAACCAGGGGCCCCGTTTTGGATGGTAGTTATTACTTGATTAACGTTCAACATTTAGAATAAATGTAACGACCGATTTATTTCCAAAATCTATAGACGCAATCTCATCAGTGTATGTAACGTTCATTTTTGATAGTTGAGAACAATATGATTTTTTTTTCTGTAACCAAATCTGGTTGTTTCTGTCGTCGGCAGGAGAAAGATGATTATGATTTACATATGCGTGATAGCAATAACCATGATGGATACATGTGTGCCATGTGTACTCGTGTGTGGTGCAATGTGTTCACGTTTGTGATATAATGTCTATATGTGTGCGATACGATGACTACTCGTATCTTATACAATATTTACACATGTAAAATACAACGTGTAAACTAAAGCATTACATGTGTAAACGTGTGTTATATACGACTGTGATGCAATGTGTACACGTGTGATAAACTATGTATATGTGTGAGATACAATATGCACTCGTGTGTACTATGATATTCACATTTATGCTAGACAATATGCATAAGTATGCGGATGTGATGCCATGCGTACAAGGATAAGATACAATGTGCAAACGACTGTTACACATTGTATATACATGTGTGTACGTGTGTTATCACATGTATACATGTGTGTAATACAATGTGCAAACGACTGTTACACATTGTATATACATGAGTGTACGTGTGTTATAACATGTATACATGTGGGTGATACAATGTGCAAACGACTGTTACACATTGTATATACCTGTGTGTACGTGTGTTATAACATGTATACATGAGTGTGATACAATGTGCAAACGACTGTTAAACATTGTATATACATGTGTGTACGTGTGTTATCACATGTATACATGTGTGTAATACAATGTGCAAACGACTGTTACACATTGTATATACATGTGCGTACGTGTGTTATAACATGTATACATGTGTGTGATACAATGTGCAAACGACTGTTAAACATTGTATATACATGTGTGTACGTGTGTTATACCATGTATACATGTGTGTGATACAATGTGCAAACGACTGTTAAACATTGTATATACATGTGTGTACGTGTGTTATACCATGTATACATGTGTGTGATACAATGTGCAAACGACTGTTAAACATTGTATATACATGTGTGTACGTGTGTTATACCATGTATACATGTGTGTAATACAATGTGCCAACGACTGTTACACATTGTATATTCATGTGTGTACGTGTGTTATAACATGTATACATGAGTGTGATACAATGTGCAAACGACTGTTAAACATTGTATATACATGTGTGTACGTGTGTTATACCATGTATACATGTGTGTGATACAATGTGCAAACGGCTGTTACACATTGTATATACATGTGTGTACGTGTGTTACAACATGTATACATGTGTGTAATACAATGTGCAAACGACTGTTACACATTGTATATACATATGCGTACGATTGTGTTATGTTTCATACATGTGTGTCATATAATGTGTACACGTGTATTACACAATTTGTACATGCATATCATTAAATGTTTCATGCAATGAGTAGACATGATTGATACCAAGTTGTACGTTTGAGTCATTCAATGTTAACACGTGTGTATGATACGATGAATATACGTTTGTTATACAAGTTGAACACGTGAGTTATACAACATGTATACGTGTGTTATGCAATGTGAACACGTGTGTTGATACAATGGATATACGAATATGATACAATTTGAACACGTGTGTTATGCAATGTGTACACGTGTGTTATTTAATGTTAACACGTGTGTATGATACAATGTGTACACATATAAAGTTACTAGCAATAACTCAATCACGTGACGGTTTATGTTAGACAACCCCTTTTTCATCAGGGGAAAAGAAATTATGGTAATTATGGACAGTTTTGACTTGTCCTGATTTACATGACTAAGGGCATTGTTGATAGTTTGTGAACCTGTAGCTCTGATAAAAGTCTTGTACTGATAAAATTCACGTCACGTACTGTCAACACCAACTCCCCTCTGTATTACTGTATACCGTTAAATATGGCTTTCCAATGTTTACATCAATGTACTCGTACCTTTGAAAGTATTTCGGAAACTTCCCAAACGACAAACCCTAAGTGCATAACCATTTTCCTGAGGTTGAAATTGAATTAAAATACACCTTAGCATACCATTAATTACTGTCTTTTGACAAATAAAATCTAGTGCTATATTTAGATTTGAATAAAGATTGAATATTTCTGTGTATTTGATAACGACTGTATTAGAGGTAGGTACTTATTGAATTCGGTTATAATTACAGCATGCCAACATTAATTCACACTACACCAAACAGCTGCTGCTTGGGGCCAAAAGAGGTGGATATCAAAAATGGAAGTGAACGAACCCTTTATTGCGTAGACCTAAAGAATTAGAGGAGCACAGTTTAAATAAATAAATCAAGAGTAGAGAGTGTCTAGCATTGCCATTACTAATCAGAGATCACTGTTACAATCAAGGTTACAACAGACTTCGGGGGCTACGGTATCCACCAGCAGAGACCACATGTACCACCTTGGATCCTAAAGATGAACGTGAGCCACACACATGTGATTGCACCTATACATTCGGTTATAATTAGAGTTTGTAACAAGAGGCCCAGAGGGCCTGTATCGCTCACCTGAATATGTTTAAAATAATTGGTATGAAGTAAAGATATAGCACGCCATGGTAGGTGCTGTAAGTACATATGAAATTTCAGAAACATCCATCCAGTACTTGAGATAAAGCGAGAACAAACTTCAAACAGAGTCCCACCCCTATTGGGCCCCGCCCCTCAGCCCCCAGGGGGATGGGGGGGGGCAGACCCACCGTTTATACAAAATTGGTTCCCCTTCACCCAAGGATGCTCCAGACTAAATTAGGAAAAAATCCCTTAGTCCCTAGGGTAGAAGAAGGATTTAAAAGGTTTTACCTCTATTTCCCCTATTGGGCCCCGCCTCTCTGCCTCCATGGGGCGTCAGACACACCGTTTATACAAAATTGGTTCCCCTTTACCCGCGGGTGCTTCAAACCAAATTTGGACAAAATCCTGTCTTCCTACAGAAGTAGAAGGATTTTGAAGAATTTGCTATGTTTCCCCTATTGGGCCCCTCCCTGCTGCCCCCAGGGGAGCCACATTGGCTGTTTATTCGAAATTGAGTCCCTTTTGCCCAAGGATGCTCCATACTAAATTAGGATAATATCCCTTAATCCTTATGGTAGAAGAAGGATTATAAAGGTTTTTACCTCTATTTTCCCTATTGGGCCCCACCCTCAGTCCCCGGGGGGGGGGGGGGCACACCCACCGGTTATACAAAATTGGTTCCCCTTTACCCAAAAATGCTTCAGACCAAATATGGGCCAAATCCTTTCATTCCTACATAAGAAGAAGGATTTTGAAGAATTTGCTATATTTCCCCTATTGGGCCCCGCCCCTTAGCCCCCAGGGGGGCCAGACTCACCATTTATACAAAATGTGTTCCCCTTCCCCAAAGGATGCTTCTGACCAAAGTTGGTCAGAATCTGCTAAGACTTTAATGACTAGTAGCGTTTTAAAGAAAAAGGTGACGGATGGACGGACGGACGACGGACGGACGACGGACGCTGCGATATGGCATAAGCTCACCATGGCTAAAAATGAATTATACTCAACCCTACAGCGTTGTTCTTCTTCTTACATACCTCAGTGCCAATACACAGAAGTTAAAGTCCAATATTTAATGACGACTTCATGTAATGTATTTGTTTACCTGTTACATGTACAGATATATAGACATATATAACACATGTACAATGTCATTCCTATAATGGTCTAGTGTATGTTTTATGATTCAATATAAAATATTGAAATAGTTGATGTAATGTGATCGCTATCTTCATTGATTTAACAACAATAACTGTATGTTTTATCTCGCGTAGATCCACATTACATTACAGAACGTACATATCTAGCTACACATCTAAATATAGAATATAAAGGGTACTATCTTTATGTCACGAAGTATCAGACAGTTTAAGTTGAAGAGAACATAAATATTCTATACAAAAAAAGTCTTCAATCTTAATTTGTCAACAACATACCAATATATATGGTCTCCGTCGGGTATTATTTAACAAACTCATTATTGAACTCGAGGGTGTTCTACGGAAGGGTGTTAGTGTCATATGATGTCATTGTTATGTCGTAGTAACGACAAACGATACAGAGTTTTACACACCTTTCTCTCAACTGTAGTTTAGAACAGTTCTGATTTTCACCTTTCTGACCCCTAACATCACGTACGAGTCCTAGAAGGACGAAGCTGCTGAATAGTGTAATATAATGTTTGTTTGTGTACAGAATCGATCACCAATTATAACAGGTACAGTCACATGTACGTTAATCCTAAAAACCTATACAATCTGCCAATACTCATACGGGCCTTTATTTGACCACGTCACAGGTCTTTGTGAATTGCCGTCCTCATCTGGATAACATTTTAGTTCACATTTGTATAATCTACTTGATAGCCCTCCATCAGTTCTCACGGTCTGTGAGTTCTCACTGTGGTGTACATAGGTATGTAATTGTACTCGATCATCTGTATCTACTATATATATAGTGTACTTAACTCTGTTCTATATTCTAACATATTCTGATTAACAAATGAATCAACACAACGTTCCATGGATGTTTATAATTTTATTATTTGATAGATACATAAATAATTAAAATTAATTTTCGTTTTGTTTTCTGTCCAAACACATGATAGTACATGTGTTTGTATAAACACAAGTAATACAATGTGTCACGCTATGTAAAGTAGATCAAGATAACATCACACACGTACCACAGTGTTACACAGACATTTTAATACACTGTTGAATTTGTGAATAGTGATATAAAGATATTCGGATATTCCGTCTAAAATATTAAAATGTTAAAAAATAGTGAAACCATATTTTATTTGTATTTCTTGTAAAACAACTGGATTTATGAATTGTAGAAACGTTTTCAGTTTTTGGATTTTAAGAATTTGACCGAATATAGGAAAATAAAACTTGTAAATGTAAATGACAGATTATTGGTCAAAGCGTTATTGTGATCATTATCTGAGAAACTGTAGTATATCTATGTGTATCTTTCGTTTTATGATCATCACACTTTCATATTGCTATTAAAATGTACATATAAATATATATATATATATCCAATCATTCTAAAAAAAAAACACCTATCAATTATAACGGTAAATCGTCCAAATATAGGCAAAATAAACCATTTACGTCACGTGATACATGATATTGAAGTTTATGAGAGATTACATTATATTATAGAGGATAGATCAAAACAAAGTCAATTGAATCTATCTGTTGACACAACAGGTGATTAAAAGACTGCTCAACCCCCAAACACGGGCATATTATTTTTGTCCGTGAAATCATTTTTTTAGCACATATATTCAGTACAAACTAAACTTTTCTTTTGAAAACAAATTTTCCGGTTGGATGCGGTTCCACTTTTTTTCGGTCCACTATTTCCATTACGTGCAATATACAGTTTATTATCAACCGTTAACGTTACTGATTATCTAGCTTCACACCTTAATAAAGTCAACGCCAATTTTACACCACATATCAATAACTGATCCATTCAATTCTATAGATCTATATATGTAGTACAGGTAGAACATTAAGGGATTATCTCTAAACACATTTGTACCCGGCGATATGTTCTATCATTACCACGGATTTCTGTATGTCACAATACTTTTCTAACTCTACAGTCGCATCACGTGTACGGTACCGTCCACACACCCGATCCACACGTTCCCACACGTGTCTACAGCCACCGCTGTAGGGTTGACCACTCCATGTTTCTGGTCCAGGAGACACGTGGCCTGTGTACTATCTCTCGGTAGGACATGCACCTGGTTGTTAGTGTAGTCCGGTACAAACAGTCTGTCGTACTTGTCACATGAAATCTTACAGAGGTTCCTACTACCAACCGTTTGACCGTTGTATAGTTCACCAGACCATTTATAATTGATTGTACCAGATCTGTCTGTTATGATTGATACATTACTAACGTTCGACACTGCAATGTCTCCTGACGACAAACATGTAATATACCACCCCTCCATTCCACACGTCACCTTCCTCACAATCGTACCTGACTGATTCAGTACCACTATGTCTGGTGTGTTTGTACTAACTAATACCTCGTCCCTCTCGTTGATACTGATGTCGTATGCTCTATGTGGTCTGATGTCAGCAAATGTTGTCACCTGTTTGTTATGTAGTGATAGTTTATATACATATGTACTACGTGGATCTCTGGTCATAAGTATGTCTGTTGTCCCGACCATGGTGATTCTGTACGGACAGAAGCTCAATTTTACTGTCTTGATGACCACACCCTCCTTGTTAACCAGTACCAGACCCTGGTATTGAATTATTGATAACCACGCGTGACTGTCGTCGACTGGACATATACCGAGTATTTGATCTTGTTGAATAACAGTAAACTTAGAAAGACGTTGAACGTGTTTACTGTCGATGTCTGTCTTCTCGTACTGGTTCCCGTGGTGTAATTCACCTAACATTTTCGACAACAGGACGGGGTCGATACTTCCGGTAACAAAGCTTGGTAGTTTCGGTAGAACATCCTTCACATTAACATCATACAATGGTAGAGTTGTCCTCAATGACCTTTCCATTTCAAATGTACTCGTTGTATCCGTCATTTCCGCTTTTTCAAGCAGACTCGTCAACTCTCTGACATTTTTCTCCGATTCTTGACAATCTTTTTGATGCAATACTGCTTCTTCCTTTTCCAGGGACGATAACTCGGCCAGGACTGCATCCGCGATAGAATCTATTTCTGACTTTATCATTGCCCGCTGTGTGTTAACGTCCTTTCTCATTGTATCAATGTTACCTTTGAATGTTTTGTGACCATACTTCGACGTCTCGTTCTTGAAGTGTGCAATTCTAGCAGATATTGCTGTCATATGTTCTTGTAAATGTTGCTTTTTGATTTGAAATTCGTCTTCAAAATGTTTCCAGTTGTGTTGTTTGTGTGTCTGGGAAAAACACATCAAACACATCAGTATGTCACAATCACTACAGTACACGTCACACAGTTTACCGGGATGTAGTTTACATACCTCCGGTACAGGCTTGTCGCCCTGACGGGTAGCCTTCCCTATCGACGAGACGTCATCGTTTCTAGTTTTCTTTCCGCGTGTATGGGTTTCCTTACACCGGTCACATAAATTCTCCTGGCAATCGTTACAGTACCATCTAACCCCGTCTTCACTGTCACACAAATCACACGTGTAGGTAACGGGTTCCTGGGCACGCCGTACGGATCTGTTACTTGCCATAGTGTCTGCTGTTTTTGTTTGAATGTGAAAAACTTGACTCACAGACAGAGAAACGCCACCTTACTATAAACTTCCTTGTTACAGTATGCCACGTGACCAGAAGTCAGCTGATAAGTGATAAATAGGTCATAACTTCATATTATATATTACGACATATGGTCTGGAACTTCACCGATCTATTAATAGATCAAAAGCAACCTTCCTCTTAAATTCAAATTCTCAATGAAAATAATCGTGTTTGTCTATATATTGTTGTGAGTATAACACCTAAAATTTAATCATCGAAACTTAGTACCAGTTATCTCCCTTTGAACGATCAACACTAGACCTTCCGTAATATATTGGGTTTTGCCAGCGTTTAGCCAACTACTTACCCCCCTCAACCTAAATCTTTCCCCCATTTTATCAATAAGCAATACTCTTATAAATCAATATGTGAAACTTAATTAAAAATCTGATAATCCTTCATTGTTCTACCCCTGCCCAAATTGATATTTCAATAAATACTTATCGTACAGCAATATGGTAGTGAGTGCTTGGCTTTGCTTTTATGTATATCATTTGAAGCTGTCAGTGTTTTACACTTTTGACCTTAAAAATACAGCAATACCGTTTACAGAAAGCTCGCATAACTAGAAGCGAGATAATGATTTTCTTTCTACCCTCTCAAAAGTAATTTTCTCCTGTCTAGTAATTTTAAATTAGAGTTTTCCTCGCCATTTTTTCGTGTGAATGCCCAGCCAACTTAACTGCTAAGATTTATAAAGTTGTAAATATTAGCTCAAAAACAAAAATATCAGGGGTGGCCGAACTTGCACCGGTCTCCCGTCTGTAGATTTTTTATCGTTGATGATTGGTAAAAATGTATTCACAATATAATGTTTGCATCAATGACGCCATTTCCAAAGCTAAAGTAGATATTTGTTCTTGTGCGTAACGTATATGTGGGTCGGGTGGTGCATTGGATAGCGCGCTCGTCTTCACCAAGATGGATGGATTCAATACCAGTTACCTGCCCGACGACGCGGGTTTTCTCCGGATACTCCGGTTTCCTCCCACATTAAGAATTAAATCATCTGCGTGCTTCCGTCAGGTCACACAAAGAAGGATTGAATAAGTTCGGGGAAAACTGTTTGGTAATTGCTATAGAAAAAAGTGCAAATTACATATTTGACGATAAGTCTATAAAAGTAAATTTATATAGAGAGATGTTAGTTAAAAATGAAATTAAAAAAAGAAAAAATTGTAATACTTTGATGTAACTGAAATTGTCGTTATATCGATATATAGTCTGAATTCCTGTTCCATCCTGAAACACCGGATTGAATTTCAAGTTTTGTAACTGTCACTGATTGACAGGTGATGATGCCAAATAAAATTAAACAGTTTCTGCCTGTAGTTATCAATCGGCATGCATTGTGAAAAAGTTGATTTCGACATAAATGAATTATCCATTGTTTCTTCTATGAGTGTTGATGCATACATAAATTATGTAAAGACTATAACCAGACTTTCAGAAATGTTAATTATTTCGTTCATATACACAATAACGATAGATAAAGTCCAAGATTTTCCGGTTACTTTTCATCCTTCCGGAAAGAACCGATGAAGGCCGATGGAGTGTGACGTGCTTGTGACGTCATAGTATGATCATCTCTGAACGACGTTTCATGCCAGCTAGTATCAAAATTTATGTGATCGATTTTTACACTCAGAATGTATATTAGTTTTTACCTAAATAAATAAGAAATAAAACATGGGTATTATTTTCACTATATGAAGATGTTCATGTATGAGTTGAAACACAATTGTTTTTGCTTCAAGGATACACTTCCTGTTTCCCCACTGGACGTCTACTTCCGGACGAAAAAAAATAAAGGCAATGTGTATAAAGGGAAGCAACTCTGTTTACGCACGCATGCGTTACCATTAAAGAGCTACGCTCTTATTAAAGAATTGTGTATACTAGGAAAATTCATCTATGAGGCAAACAAATTAAGGGTATTATAATGGAATATGATTGTCTTCATTCTCTGTACATTGTCCATGATTTGTGTATAATATGTATTGTATACTGATGGGTCAATGGCCTAAAGTTCGAATAAAACTTCAAAACTTGAATAACTTTTGTGCCATACAATAGTGCATTTTAATATTTAGATATACGTTCAAAGAAAAAAACAATCCATCAAACAATACAATTAGTTTGAGGGGTAATGACAGATTTGAAACAAACTGTTAAACCCAATGAAGGTACAACAGGTTTTTTGTGTAAGGACAAGGTCGTGCATTTCTATGGTTACCATTTCCATCAGGCGACAAACATTCGGAAACCATTCGGGTAATTCCGTCTGTTTGATTTTGACGGCACATCATGATTGGTCGCCGATTCCTCTCACGATATCACTCAGGGTTTCCACTTCCCATACATTTCTATAAATTCCTATTTATTTTTGCCACTCCTATATTTTACCTACATTTTACTTAAAGTCCTATATTACAAACCAATGACAATGACAATTGTTTTATTCTCATAAACAATACAGTGTAGAGAATACATATATACAAATGGGTGGCAATAATACATGGTGGAACAGGATGGACATTAGTATTGTAAATTAATTATGTCATTAATATTGGTAATAAATTTAGCCAATGATGTCAATTCATGTTGTGTTACATAATTGAATAATGTATGATATTTAAATGTGTTTGGTCTTTCATAATAATATCTGGACATATGTTTTCGCCTACTATTGAGAATTGGTTGATGTGTACATGTAAACAGATAATGAAATTCGTCGCCAATTTCTCTTAAATAACATAAACTACATAATCTATTTTCACGTGGCATATTGAACCACCTACCACTTTCAATTGGTAACTTAGTATTACATGTTCTTAACTTACAATACGCTTTGGCCAGTTTGATATGAATTTTCCTTTTAGTTGAAAAATGTGTCTGAGTGATAGGGTCAAAAGGGGTCAAATTCAGACCCAGATGTGAGGTCCTTTATACAAATTGTGAATTTCCTCTTCACTGGGTCTCCTGTCCCTCCTGGGAAGGAAGTAAAATGTACTGTATTTTATAAAATCATTCAATTTTAGTTATAATTATAATCATATTATTGCAGTTCGACAGTATGAAAATTTAGTCAAAGACTCACCCCTAGGGCCTAAGCTAAACTTGGCTAAAATTTCAAGAATCTTCTTCTGGTCACCCATTTTCCCTGCAGAGGGATAAAGTTTACGATAGTTTATAAAGATATCACAAATGAAAATGGCATTGGTTACAGGTAGATGTAAATACCAGATACGATACCTGATATGTTAGGACACTGTTGACAAACTTGCTAGTATTTACAAAAATTAAGCAGGCTTGATGTTCAACTCCTTAAGTTTTCATTTGATTCTTACATAATATTATCGTTTTTAATGACAATTTATTTGTCACCTTTGTATGTGGCATTTAATTTGATATATGTTCATATATATATACAATTGTTAAGATTTAGTTCTGGTAAACTTTCGGGCCTGGTTTTCGGATGAACACAATACATAATATGCAGTAGGGAATTCCTGTATAACATCTACGTCAGCCTATCTGATACACAAACTGTCCAAGCATCCGAGTTCTGGATCTAATATGGATTTTTTACCAAATTGTTGTAACTGTGAAATATTACAACTAAAATTTGTAACCAGGAGACCAGTCTTCGCAAGCTTAACAAATGAACAAATGAGTTATAACTAAAACAGGGTTTTTTTCCCCGAATTTCTGCATTGTATGTACATTCCTGTATAAAAAAAAACCCGTTTATGTCAGAACTCAATTCTACATATGATAAACTATAGAAAAACACTCAAAGAATTAATATCGCGTTTATTCATTGTTGAGCTGACTGAATTACTGACAACCGATCTCTGTACGTGTATGCGATACTCCTAGGAATCAGTGAACAGCTGGGCAAACCTACACAAAGAACGTAACAGGCCATTATGAATGTTCTTAGGAAATGTCAACCGACGGTTCAGTTGTGTTTGACTATATGTTTAAATTTGTTTTAAAATACCAGTTGTGGTTGTTATTTAAGTGTAGATACTATCCTGTAGAACCCTTGTGTGTCAATACAATAGATAACGACGTACCTGTAAACCAGAATCATACGTAATATAGGTCAGACGTCGATACTCACGGTAAGGGTACCTGTACAGGTAAACACAGGTGCAATGAGATGTGTAAAGTCGTAGTTAGAAGATTGGGTTTAAATATGGCAATCTTTCAATAATTGTACACGGTTTTTTTTATGGCCATACAAAGCGGTCTCCGTGAATTTTCTACTTCATTTTGGTGTACCTCAGAAGAAATCTAATTATCCCAAACAAATACTGTAAACTCAAATAATAGCGCATTATCCAATTTTTAATAGATTAGCGCATTGATGAATTAACTCCCCCGGAAATATGCAATACAGAAGAATGTCCAAGAACTTATTTTATGGCATGTAAAATTTAATAATAGTATACGTACATTTATAAATTATCCATACTAGATATGTTCTCAATATCCTAACGATTTTATTGTGTGGCCCCAGATACATGTATATAGTTGTAACCTGCACTAATAGCAATGTACATTTCGATTATTCAGTATAATTAACTCTGATATTATCAATATATCTGATATATTAATGAATAAATACCATGTTCTATGGATGTGAATAATTGTATAACATATGGATTAAACAAAAGTTTACAAAGTAAATCTCGTTTATTTCCAGGCCTAAACACATGCCAGTACACACGTTTGTCTAAAGCACAAGTGATTACACATTGTGCCACGCTATGTAAAGTAGATCAAGATACCATCACACCTGTACCACGTGTGTAACACAAACATGTTAACACAGTGTTGGATTTAGTTGATAGTGATATTAAGATATCTGAATATTCCATCGAAAGCCTAAAATTTTAGAAATATGAAACCGAATCATATTTTCAAGTTTTTGACCAAAACCTGAAATAATGGAAATGTAAACTCGTCTTCAGTTTTCATAGTTGTATTTTTAGATTTTTGCCCAATT